CCCCAAAACCCCAAAACCCCAAAACCCCAAAACCCCAAAACCCCAGGAAGGTATAAAAGAGATGAAATTTTAATAAATATAAAATTAAAGATGATATCTTGTGGAAAATGGAGACTGATCAGGGAGGTTAGTTGTGATCATACCTCAAAGTAAGTGGCTGTGATTGGCTAAGAGTCATTATTTAGGGTTTACTTTGCTGAGAGCATGGAAACTTTGGAAAAGAGAATGGTTAAGACCATTAATAATCAGTATATTGACAGATTAGAAGAAGAAGACAAACACAAAATTGTAAGTATCTGAGAAATTGAATTAGAATTATATTATTAAAGCAGAAACAAGAAGGATTGAACATTTTCTACTCTTGTCAAAAGACTGACCACTCTTATTTGAGTCAAATTAGAGAATAAAGATATTTTGACAGCCTCTTAAAGATATTCTAGATTTGCTCTATATTATTTACTTAAAAGCTCAATGATACTGCAATATATTTTTCTATTGATGGCATTTTGTTCATGGTTAAGTAATTATAGGCAATTATGACTGGACTAGACCATCCCAATTTAATTAAAACTTATGATTATGAATTTGAAGCAGACATCGAAGATAGTTCCATCAGAAATGAGCCTCATTGCTTATTAGTATCTGAGACAATTACAGTTACAAAACTATTTGAAATTATCTCTTTTACAGGCCCATTCTCTGAGAAGATTTCGAGATATTACTTCCACCAGATATTAGATGCTATCATATATCTAAGCGATCAGGGGATAAACCAATTAGACCTCAGGGCTGATAATTTATTCTTAGACAATGAGTACAACCTCAAAATAGGAGACTATACACAAGCCTTGCTGAGAGACTATAATAAAACAATAATAAGCACTGACGTAACTCAAGGTAAGATTTAGTTTAAAAATCTCATCATCCTAAAATAAAAATTATTGTACCTTTAACCATAAACATATTGATAGAATTTCCTTTGTATCATAATCTAAAGAAATTTTGAGAATTAGGATGTTCGAAAAATAATATTTGTAACGAAATTTTTTCAGAAATATTACAAAGATATGGCTGCTGAAATTTAATGGAGAAATTTAAGAAATTAAATTGTTTGTCAGACTTTTAAATTCTTAAATAGTTTTCATTTAGCTCCTGAATGTTCAATATACAAAGAAAACGACAAATTATCATTCGAATGTGTAAACATGTTTGCGATTGGTGTGATACTTTTTATGATGGTGGTAGGCAAGAAGCCTTTTGTGTCTTCTGAAAATAACTACTCGATTTACAAAACATTGAACTCCATAAGATCAGAAAAATTTTGGCATAAACATCTTGCCGAGTTTCCAGAAAAACTACAATTCTTAAGTTTGGAAATTAAAGAGCTCATTACTTTGCTTCTCAGTCATGATCCTTACGAAAGACCATCTCTTACTGAACTAACAGAACTAGAATGGTACAATGAATCTCTTCCAACTGGTCAAGAAGTCAAGGAAGAAATTTATGCCAAAATCAGACAACTCGACGATATAAATGTTACTATTGAAGAAGAGTTTCCTGATATCTCGGATGCTCAAGATATATTTTACCGTATAGAATATCCTTATCGTGGAGTGTATGATGAAGACATTGAAGAAATAGAGGAAAGAATCTGAGAAGCTTACATTCCAGAATTTAAGACATATACTCAATTCTTTTCAACATCAGAGATTAATACTTTGTTTGAAGCTTTAGTTGTGTATGCTAATATGCTTTCCAGTGATATTTATTATGGAAAAAGTACTTACTCATGTACTTATCACAGAATTGTTGAAGAGTACGATTCGCAGGTTGATAAATATAGATCGGAACCTTCTTCCTTATTAATCACAGTAAACATTCTAAGTGTAGAGGATGACCTCCATTGTGTCCAGGTTATCAAAAAATCAGGGTGCATATTCCATTTCGCTAAAGAATACAAGGAAATCACTAAATTCTTCGGAGGCCATTGCAACCAAATCCCCCCAACACAGCCCCTGTTTAAAGACTTTGGCTAATCTCAATCTTACTTCATTCAGTAGGGGTTTTGGGGTTTTGGGGTTTTGGGG